TAATTTTGTCAGGTTGATAAAAATGTCACTTTACTTCCTGACATTGTTGTTTTACCACAGGGGTGTCCAAACTTCTTTCAAAGAGGGCCAGATTTGATAATGTGAAAATGCCCAAGGGCCAACAGTCCCTGCTGACATTATTTTAAACAATACAAGTAGCCTATACATACATTGTTATTTAATCATTTTATTTTCAATGACAGCAAATAGCAATGTAACCAAATGTAAGCATTCATGTGTGAACACATCTCAACAACTATTCTGCCTTTCTTTCACATCTTGAAAGTCAGATAACACAAAGAACAAGCCATCTAAAAGCTAATTACATAGAAACCGATCAATGTTCTCACCTCAAGACAATCTTAAATATGACTTAGTGAGGGTAATGAAAAGTTGTCTCACATTTAAGTTCAACACACATGAAACAGGCTAACGAAATAAATCAAGTTGTCTCTTAGTATCTGATGATAGCTCTTCAGTGTTCGGTCTTCTTCTCGGGGCAATTATGTTTTCTGCTATTTTCATAACAGTCTTTGACAAACTCACCTTCCGTAAAAGGTTTGTCATGTTTAGCAGTTAGCATGGCCACTTGGTAGCTTACTTTGATGATGTTTTCATGTGAAAAGGACCGCTGCTGTGTGGCCAAGTTATCTTGGAGTTGCTTCACTTTTCTAGCACGGTCGCTCTCATAGCTTGTTGTAGCATTAGCATGTTTGGTCTCGTAGTGTCTCTTTACATTATATTCCTTAAACTAGGCAACAGTCTCATGACTAATTAGGCAGACACAGTTGTTTCGGTTTTCGGTGAAAAAAATATTGCGATCTCCACCTCTCCTGGAAGCCGCAGCCCTCATTATCGACTTTCCTTTTTTTACTTGCCGTAACATGACAGGTCAAGGGTCAGAGCCCATTTCAAACAGCCAGACAGTTACAGAGTGGTGCTGCCACCATGAGGTAAAAAGAGGAATTGCATGTTGAATTTGTATGATTTATTCATTCCGTTTTGACTGTGCTGGCAGGCCATAAATAATGCATTTTAAGACAGAAGGTGCGGGCCATATAAAATCTGACCTCGGGCCGTGATTGGCCCGCGGGCCGGACTTTGGACATGCCTGATCTAATACAATACCACTAGTTCGTCCAATCCTTCCACTTCATTAATAATGTGTTATTTATATGTCTCGGCTCGTCTGACGCTCCTTTCCATCCCTCAGTCTGGAGCTCCGAGTGCCGTTCCTGGACCACCGATTCACCTCATACTACCTCTCTCTGCCCGAGGAGATGAGGATTCCCAAGGTCAGTTCATCTGTACCCGGTGTGTTTATCTCACGTGTTCCAGCATGGCTTCGTGATAATAGCGTTCTCCTGTCTTAAGCAGCATGGGGTGGAGAAGCATCTCCTGAGGGACTCCTTCAAAGATCTCAACTTAATCCCGGATGAGATCCTGTGGAGGCGCAAAGAGGCCTTCAGCGACGGTATGATGTCTGTGAAGAAGTCCTGGTACGTGTGCCTGCAGGAGCACCTGGAGTCCATGGTATGTGTTCCAGTAAGACCTGTTCAACAGTGTTCACTTTAAATCCGTGTTCTCTCTGGCAGCTAGTTTAGGTTTACGGTCTTCTTTCACCGTGGGCCCACGAGAATATTCATAATTCATACCTGCAGCGATGTGGATTTGCATCGGCTGCACCACTTGTTCACCTGGTGTGTCTTTCCTTTGTCAAGGTTGAAAGGAGTAATAATAGGTTCGTAGGAGATTAGCCAGTCCTGCGCAGAATCGATCACCAGCGATCGCTGAACAATGCATGCCGGTTAGATTTGTGTCCGACTTGCTCTGACGTCATCAAGACGTGGTCAACGATAACCTCACGAGAGCGAGGAGGCCACGGGTCCTCTTCACTGACTGCACTTCCTGTTTCTTTGACTTCCTGTTTATTTTTTGAAGGCGGCTAGTTTTTTTCCCCGCCCCCTGCTGCTGCCGTCTGCTCTCGTCCACTTTCCAGGCGAGGAGCAGTTCATCTCAAACGAGCCTAATGTCTGCTGTCTTGGTTCGGTACACGAAGCCTCCGAGTTCTTGAAGGCATACAGACATATGTCTGTATGTCTGTATGCTTGTATGCTTGTATGTCTGTATGACTGTATGACTGCCGCTTGTTTTTGAGTTTGAATGAGGTCTATTTTACGACGTTTTACAGTCCATTTGGCAAAGTTTTAGTCGACTAAAGTCATCACATTTAAGTTATTACTTTTAGTCAAAATGTTCTCTCTTCATTTTGTCACTTATATTTAAAATTGGTCTTCGTGTGAGTCAAATGTCCTTTTTTAGTCATCAAATTATATTGAACATTTCAGTGAATCTAGTTGAGACAAAACCAATCATTTTGTAATTTTTGTGAGACTTATTTCACATGCTATTCTATTTTATCATTATCTGATGAGAAACACAGGATGAAGGATGAAGGACTGTGCTCATTAGTGGTGAGCGGGCCAACATGCAAAAAGATGTGCTCCTCACCCACCAGAACCCAACCGGCAACTTTATAAAAAGGAGTCAATTTTATACTTGAAACCACAATTTAGTTTTTTCTGTCAACAATATTGCATGTTTGATATGGTCGCCGTTAGTGTTTAATGACGTCTCGTCATTTTCATAGTTTTTGTTAATGAGATTGACACTGGTTTAAATGACCTCATCCCAAAAACATTCAAACAAAAAACACACTTTTTAATGATTCGTCCTCTTTGAAATTGTATTTGATCTATTGTATCGCCTATTTTATTGTTTATATTTTATTCTGATTTAGATCTTTTGAATATCTGTTCATACATGTATGTGTGCAGAACGAGCGGGGCTACAACTACAGTTCATTGTGCAACAATAATGACAACAACACATCCTGAGAATCTTTGTTGTTCACAGGATACAGTGTCTCTTTTGATGCAACCACTAGGAGACGTCATAGTCAAACATTTCAAAGCTGTTAAAGTCATACAATACAATCCAGGAGTGTGGCTGCTGGAGCGAAATACATGAACGCATGAACGCCTTTGTGTACGCAGAGCTCGTCTGCAGAGCGCGAGTACACACAGAGCATAACTCTGCATGGTGGATGCACTGCTAGAGGACCACGTGAGGGGAACGAGTGTTCAGGGAACACCTCGACCACGACAACCTTGATAACTTCGTCCAAATAATTATTTTTCTTGGTCTTCGTCTCGGTTCTAAAAAGAAAAACCTTTATTTGGGATTCGTGAAAGGAAATTGCGTAATGGCAGGCATATGCAAGTTTTTATAAATCAGAATATTGTTTTTGCCGTAAGTATATCAGTACGTACGCTAACATTTTATTAATGAGACCTCAGATAATTATCCATTTAACCGTGAACAAAGGATGCGAATGCTTGTTTTCCAATGTACACAGAGAAGTGTGTGAGCTGCGTTCTGTCGTCTCTCAGGTGAATGATGATCAGATGGAGAAGGCTCACAAGACGTTCCCTCACAACCCTCCTCGCACCAAAGAGGCCTACTACTTCAGACAGGTGTTTGAGAAGCACTACCCAGGCCAGGCCAAGTGGCTCTCCCATTACTGGATGCCCCGCTGGACCAACGCCAGCGACCCGTCGGCCCGCACCCTGGCCATCTATAAGCCTGATAAAGACCAGTGATTCCCTGGAGCAGCTGCTGGTCTGTGTGGGTCCGTCAGCAACATGTTGGCCTTTGAACATTCTACTCTGTCTCCTGCTCTGTCTCCTGCTCTGTCTCCTGCTCTGTGTCATGCTCTGTGTCCTGCTCTGTCTCCTGCTCTGTGTCATGCTCTGTGTCATGCTCTGTCTCCTGCTCTGTCTCCTGCTCTGTGTCCTGCTCTGTGTCATGCTCTGTCTCCTGCTCTGTCTCCTGCTCTGTCTCCTGCTCTGTCTCCTGCTCTGTCTCCTGCTCTGTGTCCTGCTCTGTGTCCTGCTCTGTGTCCTGCTCTGTGTCCTGCTCTGTGTCCTGCTCTGT